ACTGGACCTTGCTCTCCTATGATGAATGATTTGCCTAAAAATACTGTCTGTGTGCAAGCAACACATCCAGGTGGAAGAACTTTCAACCACACATTACTTTTAGGCCACTTTTCTCTTTCACTATCCCTGGGTTAACAGCAGCTATGGAAATATATGTGTGTGTTTGTGTGTGTGTGTGTGTGTGTGGGGGGGGGGGGGGGGGGGGGGGGTTAAATGTGTGTGATAATCCCCAGCTTTTCAGACAGGAGTGACGCGTTGCTTGATTAAATCCGTGACCTTCACTGGCAGCACAAGCAATCAGCAGTCGAACACACGCGTTCACACACCTGCTGCATACTTAACACATTCTCGGAGCACGAACATGTAATCAGCACCTGGTGGTGTCTAGTGCATCATTGATCCACACACACACACACACACACACACACACACACACACACACACACACACACACACACACACACACACACACACACACACACACACACACACACACACACACACACACACACACACACACACACACACACACATGCGTGCAGGGCATCTATCAAATTGCATTTGAGACACCCTCATTTTACCCACACTTGGCTCTGTTCACTATAATAGCGTTTGCCACAGCTGCAGAGGAGGCTTGCCTGAATGGGAATACCAGGCCTACAAATGTATAAATAAATACATACGTAATCTAGAGTCAGATTACCAGAAGGGAAGTCAGGAATCCCATCTCGTTGCTATGATGCATGAGGGAAATCATTCAAGTCCCTGGTCTATTTCAGCAGGCTGCTTCCATTGAGCGCTATCATGGTTTCCCCTCCTCAGTTTTATGACTCCACATAATGACTAATATGTGTAACAGCAATAGCAAAAGTCATAGTATGTTATTGTGACTGTTACTGGGACTGTGTGTGCATTTTTGTCTCCCAGGTTTATTTAATAACTATAAAACAGTGAAAGGAGCATCTGTGCTGTTGTATTGTGTCGTATTTGAGTGTGTTTCTACCAGCCTTATGTAATAGAATTTCACACAGGCCTAATGTCACGATATATTAAATCAAATACTGCTGCACGGAACATCTCACTGTGCAGAAACTATTTGTGGCATCGTTTTCTGTATTTTTCACATTTTTCTGCAAGTTTTCAGCACAAGCTTAAAGAACCCCTCATGTCCTTTTATGCGCAAATTATGACTATCTATGTCTGGAACTTTATTATTTTCTTTTTTAGACTAGGAAAATAATGGAACATTATATATTTTCATGTACTTCCTGTGCTCAGAGAGACAAAAGTCACACTAGAAGTCATCATGGTGGCTTATGTGCAAGTACACTGTCAGTTCCAAAAATATAGCTGTCCACTGTAGTAAGAAATAAGCTTGTTTCTTGTCATTTTACTATAAAATATTCATGTTAGTGGGGTTGGCAACATTGCCTCGAAATTATATAATTTAAGGAAATTGGTGACTGCCAAGAAAAAAATCCAGCTTGTAGGTAGCGGCGTTTAGTTGTGCAAGCAAGACACATTTTCATATTCTGTTGTGCACAATGACTGTGTGAATCCATCCACCATATCCCATCACTCAATAAGTTATTGCACAGACTAAAGAGCATAAATGTGTTGTTGCATCATATAATTTATGTTGTGATATGAGACCTTATCGTTGGATTTTTGTCGCAGCCCTACAACTCAAAAAAATATTATTTATCAACAGATCAACAGCTATAAAACAAAGCCTTCCCTCTAGTCATGCAATAACATTAAAGTTATCATATGTATTGCAAAAATGATCCCCACCAACTTAGACTAGTCCAATAGTCACATAAACAATGATCTAACTCAGATTAAAGGTCAACTTTACAATAAAAATATGTTTAATGATTGTTAATGATTATAATCAGTCAACCTGAGTTCAACATGCAGACGGAACATGAAAATAGTCTCCTACACCTATTTCCTGCATTTGCCTCTGATAGAAAATAGATGGTGAAACTGTAAGATTTGAAAAACTTGACAGCTCTGTGTCACATTCATGGATTCACCCATCTTGAATCACGTCAGGGAAGGCTGTGTTTAGATTAGCATTCAGGAAACAACAAAGAAGGTCTCGACTAGTAGAAGCTAACCGCTAGCAACTTAACATCACAGCAGAACTCCTTCAAGCTTGTGGTATTTGTGGAGATAAAACATTAATGAGGCAGAGCAAACAGAGTGAGAGGCTGCTAGCCAATCAGAGGTGAGATGTCCAAATATCAGGAAGTAAGACTCCAAATCCTGCCATCTTCTGCTTCTTTCTCCTCCAGCTGACTCATCCATCCTCAAACAAGTGCATCAAAACAAAACAAGACCTCCTCTGGGACAATCGGATCACAATCTTGTTTTTCTCTGCTCATAATACAAATCACTTGTTCAGAGGAAACCTGTGACAAGAAGAACTGTGAGAAAATGGTGACAGGACGCTGAAGAAGCCCTGCAGAGTTGTTTTGAGACCACAGATTGGATGACTCTCTGCCAAGGATATGAAGAGGACATCAATGCCATGACTGGATGTGTCACTGACTATATAAACTTCTGTGTGGACAACATCATACCCACTAGAACAGTGAGATGATTCATTAATAACAAACCCTGAATCACCAGTGAACTGAAGAATCTGCTAAATGAGAAAAAAAGAGCATTCAAGGAGGGATACATGGAATTATTGAGGAGTACAGAAGCAACTGAAGATCAAGATCAGAGACAGCAAGGAGGCATGCAGGAAGAAGCTGGAGAACAAACTACAGAGGAACAGTATCAGAGATGTCTGGTCAGGCATGAAGAAGATCACAGGCTTCAAGCAGAGGAAGCATTGCACAGATGGCAGCCTGGACACAGCCAATGAACTGAACAAGTTCTTCACTAGGTTCAGTTCAGGAACAAACCCAGCATCTTCCTTGCCTATCCCCAGCCAATCAGACATCCCATCCTCCTCTGATCCAACATTTTCCTGTCACACACCAGCTCTTTTGTCCTGTAATGCAGTCATGGACTCTTTTGGTTCTATGAATCTGTCTTCAACCATGTCAGGAGATGCTGCTGCCCCATTTACCTCCCCCTCCCACCTATCTGTCTCTAGGTCAGGTGAAGAGGCAGCTGGAGAGACTGAACAGGAACAAGGCTGCAGGTCCAACTGGTGTCAGCCCCAGAGTGCTGAAGGCCTGTGCAGAGCAGCTCTGTGGGATTCTGCAGCACCTCTTCAACCTCAGCCTGGCCCAGGAGAAGGTTCCAGTCCTGTGGCAGACATCCTGCCTTTTTCCAGTTCCAAAGAAAACTTGCTCATCAGTCAATGGCGACTACAGACCGGTTGCCCTGATATCCCAAATAATGAAGGTCCTGGAGAGACTCCTGTTGGTCCACCTGAATAAGCAAACTAGAACATATCAGGACCCGCTGCAGTTTGCTTATCACCCTGGAGTTGGAGTTGAAGATGCCATCATCCAGCTGCTTCAACCAATCCACTGTCATCTAGACAAAGCAGGCAGCACTGTGAGGGTCATGTTCTTTGATTTCTCCAGTGCATTTAACACAATCCAGCCTGATGTACTTTGCCAGAAACTCCAGAAGACACAGGTTGAGGCCTCAACTATCGCCTGGATTAAAGACTACCTGACAAACAGACCACAGTTTGTGAGGCTGAAGAACTGCACATCAAACCAGGCGATCAGTAACATTGGAGCACCACAGGGGACTGTACTCTCACCATTCCTTTTCACCCTGTACACCTCAGACTTCCAGTACAAATCAGAGACCTGCCATCTACAGAAATACTCAGATGACTCTGCAGTCGTTGGGTGTATCAGAGATGGACAGGAAGCTGAGTACAGAGAGCTGGTGGAGCGCTTTGCGGTATGGTGTGGAAACAATCATCTGACCTTGAACGTGAACAAAACAAAGGAGATGATTTTAGACTTCAGAAGAAACGGGGTGGAGTCAAACACTGTTTCCATCATGAGAGAAGAAGTAGAGGTGGTTGAGGAACACTAATACCTTGGAGTTCACCTGGACAACAGACTGGACTGGAGAAGGAACAGCGGAGCCGTTTACAAGAAGGGACACAGCAGACTGCACTTCTTGAGGACGCTTAGGTCCTTCAATGTCTGTAGCAAGATGCTGCAGATCTTCTACAAGTCTGTTGTTGAGAGTGTAATCTCTTCAGCCATCGTCTGTTGGGGTAGCAGCATCAGAAGCAGGGACCTGAAAAGGCTCAACAGCCTAATAAAAAAGGCTGGTTCTGTTCTGGGGACGACTGTGGAACCACTGGAGGAGATAATGCAAAGAAGGATTCTCCAGAGAATCAAGAAAATGATGGACAACCCTGAGCATTCTCTTCACAAGACTGTCCGACAACAGAAGAGTGTCTTCAGTCAGAGGCTTCTTCAGTTTCGTTGCAACACTGACCGCTACTGGAGATCCTTCCTGCCAACAGCCATTGTAATATACAACAACTCTGATGACTTGATTATTATTATTATTCTGAGCTACTACAGCAATCAATTTCCCCCTGGGATTAATAAAGTAGTTTTGAATTTGAATTTGAATCAGAGCTTGTTTTCCCCAGAATACAACTTACAAGGCATTCATTCCTACTAGAGACCACTGCACACGTATTAATATGAGTAAAGTCCACCTTTAGAGCCCAACAGGCAGAGCAACAATGCTGGTCCAGGAACAGATTTAGGCTAAGTTTCTGCAACACATCAGACATTTTTTATTTGACTAACTTCTCATTAGTCTGGCAGGGAAATACATCTAAAAAGTACGCAGTAAAATGATGATGGAAAATAAATGCATTGACTGTGGGATTTTTATTAACAAGTTGGTCTTTGCACATGATGTTTGATGTTTTAATTCATCACATGAAGCACTGACATTTTAGCTTCTCTGTTCATTATAGAAATTAAGCTCTAAGCTTGTGAAGTGGGATTTTTGAGCATGCACATCAGTTAATTTTGTTTTTTCTGCAGCATGCAGACCTGGAACCTACAAAGCTTCGGCCACAGATGCCTACTGCACCAAATGTCCTCCTCACAGCTCGTCCCCGCAGGAACAAGCCATCGAGTGCCTGTGTGAGAGAGGCTTCTACCGCGCTGACACCGACCCACGCTCCATGTCATGCACACGTAGGTGACACAAACCCAAGCAAAGGGTTGACTCATTTTAGCCACAGTTATCTAATTGAATCACCTGTTTGCATTCTCTTAACTGATTTGTAATGGACTATCAAAAATAATTATTTTTGTAGTCAATCAGGTTTATAGATAGATAGATAGATAGATAGATAGATAGATAGATAGATAGATAGATAGATAGATAGATAGATAGATAGATAGATAGATAGATAGATAGATAGATAGATAGATAGATAGATAGATGATAGATAGATAGATAGATAGATAGATAGATAGATAGATAGATAGATAGATAGATAGATAGATAGATAGATAGATAGATGATAGATTTTATTAAAGGTAGCGGAGGAGAAGGTAAGCTAAGAGGTGGAAGATGTACTTAAAGACTAGAACGGCATGCTTGAAGGTGGGGAAGGCATGTTGGACATAGCAGGAGAGAAAGAGAATACACACTAGTACTACACACACATGGACGGACACACACACAGACACACACACACACACACACACACACACACACACACACACACACACACATACTCGAGCATAGTCACATATACCCAAACCCATTATCGGGTTATGGTAGATTACACTCATTAATCGTACTAGCAGGTGAGATGTGACAGGTGTTATCAGCTGGAAATGAGTAACGGTTTGTTCAAATGTGCAGGAACACACACACACACACACACACACACACACACACACACACACACACACACACACACACGCACGCACGCACGCACGCACGCACGCACACACACACACACACACACACACACACACACACACATATATTCCCTCCTGAATGGTAAGGAGCATAATTTTGAAATTTAATGGTGAAAAATGAGAAAATAAGGAGAATATGTGACATAATTAGTCCTGTAGACATGGAAAATGACACTTGAGACCCAGGACAAGAAAGGAACAGTGGGAGGGGAGTAGAGGTGTATCGGCGTCATCTAATCTAAGTATCATAAAGGTGTCATAAAAGGTTGATCGCTAGCAACGATAATGACGGACTGGTAAGTGGTTATGAACGAAGTTGGGGCGGAGAGAAGAAAGAGGCAGAATTAGCATCCTGCCCTTATGGCAGATTTATGACCGACAGCCTCAATTATACCCAGCATGCCCCCCCGTGCAAAGTTGTCCCCCCATTCCATCTATATCTCCATGGGGCTCGATATTGGAAGGACTAATCAAGAAAGTCTCAGGCTCTGCTGGTGGCCACCCGGGGGCTCACTGCTCAGTCTGATCTTGATGAGATGTCATGTAAAACGGGAGTCTGCTGTGAATTTCTCTTATGGCTGAGTTTCTTGCACCACGCTGTGCTGTAAGCAGCCAAAATCAGTGATTTCTACCCTAGTGGGTTTCATGTATCCCTTTAGGATGTGCTGGAATTTTTTCTTTTTGCTTCCACACCTTCAAATCATAAAAATACTTTTTTGTTTTTGTTTTCAATATGTCCCTGAAAATAAGAATAATTCAGAAGCAGCTCCAAACACCGTGTTTTCTTAGCACTTGTCTAGCGTGAGATGGGAAAAACAAACAGAAACAGGCGTTATTTTTACGTCTGCAAGCTCAAATCTGTAACTTAATGAGTAAACGGCACCCTGGGACATCTGTTTTAATGTGTTGGGTCATTAAAGCACTTCAGAGGGCTCTGAGCACCATGTTGGCCAATAAAATAACTGCAAAGTGTGCTACATTTTGCTCTCCTGCTTACTGTAACAAAACAATTTTTGTGTACACCTCTGCAGAGTGTTGTCACATTATGACACTTGGTCAGGGGACCTTGGGCACCCAGGGTGGTGAAAACTGATGACTGCATCTGTTTTTCCCCTAGAAATATTGAGTTTTTCATGACAGAGAAACATTGAGGAAATGTTTTTTCCCCTCACATTATTTAGCATTTAATTCATTTTCCCTATTTAGCCTTTAGTTTCCCCTGACTTTTAGACATGAAATTAACTTGAAAATAAAAGTCTTGGTCAGTTAGGATTTGGAATATGTTGATAAAATACCCTTTTATTGTTAAATAATTTTTTTTTATATTTAGTTTTTAACAGTGGATAGCAATCAAACCAATAGCAAAGGCAACGAATGCTTGGCTCAAGTGATGCATAAAGAAATAAGAAAATGGAGAAAAGTCATACCTCTGCACAAAAATCTGCTTTTATTGCAACTAAACTCGTGCACAATGCAGACGTCACCATGTTGCACCATGCCTTGCAGATACAGGTTCACACTTATTCAATATCTTTGCAATAAAATCCGATATAGACTGCGTAAACAATCATTTCAATAGTTTTTCCTAACATGTAACCATTAAAAATGGTGCTCCATACAGCTCAGCACTCTTCTCAGCTAAAGGCAAAAGGCTCAAGGCTACACTGAACACTAGATGAACGTGCTTTGTGGGTAATGAAGCTTCCACAATGAGTAGGGAATAAAACGAACAGAGAAAAGCTCTAAGCTGATGGTTTTACTGCATTAATTTTACTATTTAGTGTCTACATACTCTTTAAAAGTAAAATGCTTGAGTACACGTGGTCATAAATAGACTAGATGTCAAGTTCAACATGTTAAAATGTTGCATTCTGGGAATTTAGATTTATTTTTTAGATATTTGTCATTTATAGAACTATGTGCAAAAAAGTAATTTTTGTAAAACCAAATCTAGTCCTTAAATTTGTGTTTTTTATGAGCAGGAAGTACATCAGTTTCAAACTGTCTTGTTTTATTAAAGGTATACTTTCCTCTTCCTTCAGGCCCTCCCTCTGCTCCAGAGAACCCCATCTCCACAGTCAACGAAACCTGCGTCACCTTGGAGTGGTCTCCGCCCAGAGACACAGGAGGGAGAGGGGACGTCACCTACAGCCTCCACTGCAGGAAGTGCTCCGGTGACGGCAAAAAGTGCACACCGTGTGGCGGCAGCATCCATTTTGTTCCTAGACAATTTGGTCTGTCATCAGCCAACGTTCTGATCACAGACTTACAGCCAGACTCTAACTACAGCTTCACCATCGAGAGCCAGAGCGGCGTGTCGGACCTGAGTCCAACTCCCAGGGGATCAGTGGTGATAAATGTCACCACTTCGCAGACAGGTGACGACTTTTTTCTTTTCTTGTTACAGATAAGAAAATATCCTGCAGCACAAAATGGATTTTTTTTACTAGTAGTAGTAACTTTTCAGAGCTGATCAAAGTGTAGCGTGTTACACGAGAGCTTCAATTTTGCTGCTGTGAAGAATTACACCCAAACCACACAATGAAACCTCTGCAGCTCTGTTCGCACACGTGTAATCATATGTGCATCTGTCACCGTGTGGGACCGTGGAACATTTGTGCTGGAGAGGTGTGTGTGTGGATGACTAATGGGCCTCATACGATGGATGTGTGTGAAAGAGCTGGCTGGGGGGGTGGGAGGGTGGGGGGTTGAAAGGGGTGTAGGAGATTTTTAACCTCATCAGGCTCTAAACCCACACACACACACACACACACACACACACACACACACACACGCACGCGCGTGCACGCACACCCATCATCATGTCACCAGAGCAGGTGTGCTAATGTAAAAAAACTGCAGGAAGCCACAGTTCTTTGCCTTTCTACACTGATAGCAGGCAGATCACACACCATTCTTGTGGGTGTTACCATCACACACTCTGCCGAATGCTGCTAACACACGTGTACTGTATGTGACACCCTACAAGCTGTCTCATTAGCAAAACTGCATGCCACGCAACGCAATATGTGTCTCTGAATTAAACAGGTTTAAATATGCTTCTAAAATATATTTCTTTACTCCCTTCGGTCTGCTTTGTGCCGTAATGTAGCATAGTTGTTTTTATTATTGCAACAGTGAGCGTGGTGTTGAAGGAGAGGCGGAGCAAGGACAGTGTGACTTTAGCCTGGCATGGTCCCGAGAGACCCAACGGGGCCATTGTGGAGTATGAGGTCATCTATTATGAGAAGGTGAGAGAGACACACACTCACACATTTTTAAAGAGACATGAGAGTCATGAAGGTGAAACTCCAAAAATTAGAACATGGTAAAAAAAAAGTCCATTTATGCCAGTAATACAACCCAGACTCAGAGACATCTAAGGAACCCTTTGCAGGTGTTTTGGATTAATGAGTTTGTTAGAGTGTGACACTTGAAGTCACTGTGGTAAGCCATAATCATCGTAACAAATAAAGGCTTGAAATATCTGGCTTTGCAAGTAATGAGTCTATCTCATATATTGGTTTCATGTTTAGATGAATCACTGACATAAATGAACTCAAGGGTGTCCAATGCTGGTCCCGGAGGGTGGTTATGCAGCACATTTTAGTGGTTTCTCTGCTCTAACACGCTAGATTCAGTGGTTGATTCACATGTGCAGCAGCTCATCAGGCCCTACAGAATCCTGTTATCCTTTATAGAGCATTCATTCAAGTATTTTATATTTTTAAAATTTCAGCCCCAGGGTGGTGTTGTAGTCCATAATCAAAGTGTATTTCTGTTGTTACAATTTTCCCAAAAAAAAAAAAGTATTTTCATGCAGAAAATCAGAGAAAACGAAGTGATCAGATATGGACGTTGGCCCTGTTCTAGTAAAAGAAATCCCAAAATAAACGTTACTTGTAAGTATTAGACACTTTAGAATAATTTAGCCAATTTTGGAACATTATTTCAATGTTCAAAAATACAGAATATATCACAATTATTAAACAATATAGAATATTTGTGTAAAAACAGATAACTGTTGAATATTTTTGAAAAGTTGTTTACTAAAAATATTGTTTCTGATCAAATATAGATTATTAGAATATTTTATATTTGAGGATCTGCCTCAAAGTCATCTTCCTCCTGTTCATCATCATCACTAATGGCGAGATTGGTTGGCACAATAACTGTTCTCCATTTTCCAGAGAAATCTTGGTTTAAAACAGCAAAAATATATGCAATATTATAATTGTTATTATTACTGTTACCATGAATATTACGATTATGTAAAAAAATAAAACTGATTTTACCTAAAAATATCAATAATTTATGTCCAAACATGGCAGATTTGATTTTCATGCTAAGATTTTACCAACTTCATAAAGTTTAACATTTACAACACATATATGCTTATTTAGTACAATGAGTCAGCCTTGTGATGTGAGAGTTTCATAAACCTAGCATTGTTAGTTTTAGAGATCTGACTGTAAACACGAGAGGACACTGAGCAGTTTTCTGGCTCTGCAGATACACAAATATTTGGTGCGTTATATCCCCGCACTGATTGGTGGAAATGGCGCCATGACGCAAACCGTGACTAGCTTGATCTCTGATGATTGTTTGGGTGAAATTCCGTAATTCTGAGAGTTTGTGAAAAGGCACACTGACGTTCCCATTGAAAAATGTACAAACTTCTCGCTGAAAAGTGCAGATCATCTGGCTTTTAACCTGCATGCTACTCATTTATGCATGATGAACTGACATGTAAATCACTCATACTCTATCCGCTCTGATGGGCAGTAGAGTTTTTTGTTTGTTAGCAAGATGTTTTGGTTGCACGTATAAAATATGTGAAATGGTTTGAGGATCAGAATCAATGATGCACTGTTAAAACTAGGGGTGGGAATTGAAAACAGGTTCTTGTTGAGATCTGGTTACCGCTGTTTCAATTCCTAGGTATTGTTAGTCTTTTTTGCAAACAATTCCCTTTTCAATTCCAGTTGGCGCAAATTGCCACACCACACAAATTGGTTATGCAAGCTATGTTGCGTAGCTTACACATTTACTCAGCAGGAAACTTGCAAAGTTGATGTTTCATCAAATGGAGGAAACAAAATGATAAACAAAATGAATGTGCATAACCATTTACCGGATAACTTTAAGAGAATGTTGTGTTTTTGACCCACCCCGGACCAGTGAATGTCAATGGCAGTGGTGTTGTTTGCACATCCTCTCCTGTCAATACCGCAGGTAACTAATCAACTAACACTACCTGTCATGTTAGCGTCATTAGCCTTATATACACACCTCCACACTAGCAGACTCCAGCGACTAAAGTTCGACTTGTGGTGAGATTTTGCCCATTTTGCAAAAGCTAGCAACACTACACCGTACAAGAAGATGACTCCACCCTCACTAGGAGCAAAAAGGATAACATTTGAAAAGATCTTTCCAAAGGATAGCAGGTACAATTGATTGTTTATCATTAGTTAAAATGCAATTAAATGTTTGCCACCTGTTGAACTCCTCAGGAATTGATAAGGAATTATTTTTGACTTTATTTCATTCAAAGAAGAGAAAAACAAGATCAGAATAAAATCAATAAACATAAAATTCCATTCATGTGGAAAAGGAGCAGACAGAAGAAGACATCTTATGAAGCTGTGCCCCCTTTACAAAAATGAAGGCATCATCAGATGTATATTAATTAAGAACTTTCATGCAGTTGAACTAAATCAACCATAAGACAACATAATGTTAAAACGTAATCGACCTATCTCTTTAACAAGCTAATGTTGTGTAAAAAGAAAAATAATACATCTCAATTTCCCTCATAATTTATTGCTGCAGTTATGATCAACCTTTAATTTAATGCATCTTTGAATTTACCACGTGATTTAGCGGCTTTAGTTTCCTTGCTTAAATTGTTCCATAACTGAACTCTTTGGACGTTAATACTGAACTCTTTAACTTTTGTTCTAAATTTTGTTTTTATTGAATGCATCTGTTACTTTTAGATTATAGCTGCTTTCGAACAATGACTGAACATTTATGGGCAAAATATGTTTACAAGCTTTATACATTATTTGCAGTATTTTAAACTCCACCAAATAGTAACATTTAAGCACTTTATATTGAATAAATAAGGGCTTAGAGCGATCATTGTAGCAGTTACTGCTGATGAGTCTTAATTTTTTTCAAACAAGCAGTACGTTTTATATGTTGAACCTCAAATATCCACACAACACATCAAATATGATGGAATCTGTGTGTTATAGAGTTAGCATGCGATAGACAGAATCTACAACGGCAGTGATATTGATAAAAATGTACGAATTCCCACACTTCAACCTTCTCTTCCTCAGTTTTGGTCTTTCCTCTTTTGACATACCGTAATTTCCGGACTTTAGAGCGCACCTCAACATAAGCCGCATCGGGCTAAAAGCCGCAGCTATCTACTGAATTGAAAACGTAGTTTGTCAGTGTTGCTCTCCGTGTTGCTGTCATCATCCCGGGGTGAAGCGGTGAAAACATGCAGCGCTGTTTTACTGTGAAAAAGTCCTCCGGGGCGCTTTCCGTAGCACTCCTTTCCAGCATCCATCCCTTTAAAGCCACGCACCTCATTATAAGCCGCGTTCAAAGCGTGTGAAAAAGTAGTGGCTTATAGTTCAGAAAATACGGTACATGGCTTATTTTACTCCTACTGCAATCAAGTGATCTTCTCTTTCCAAACTATGAACATTTCTGCCTTTAAACCCAACCATGACTTGGAGATGTCTTCTCCTTGCCCTTTGCATATCCAAATACTCACATGCCCATGGACGTAATTTTGGGGGGGGGGGGGGGGGGGGGACAGGGGGGACATGTCCCCCCCACTTTTTTCCAAAGTCAAGTTTGGACCCCTGCACTTTTTACCATCCAAAAACAATATTACGCTATATTAAATTGACACTGGTTGAGCTCTAAGACAAAACGGAAAACAGCCGTTTGTGTTGAAAACTGTTTCCCATTAGAGCATACTGTAAAGACCCCCCCCCCACTTCTAAAGTGAAAATTACGTCCATGCACATGCCATTACTGGTAATTGAGTTTATTACACAAGAGAAAGAAGAAAGACCTTTAAATATATTTTATGTCCACTACAGAAACTCCGTAATGCAATCTGTTCCTTTTTCTCTTGTGCTTTGGGTTAATCCTGAAGGCACCTCTCTAACGACTTGTTCCTCACAAACATGCCACTATCTCCCTGTTTCGTCTGTCTCGTTCCTCACGTCCTCGCTGCTGCTCACATCAAGATAATTACCCACACATCTGTTGAACGAGCCTTGTAAAACACAGCCAAGGTGATGAAATTAAGTCTGTGTCTACGTGTAGGTGTGTGTGTTGGCTCGTATTAACAGGAAAATAGTGTTAATCCGTTTTGTAGAGTGCCTTCCATTAGATAGAGTATCACCTTCTCTGCAGGGAATCAGCTTACGCACAGACAAACTTAGTCGGGGTTCATCCCTCTAAACACACGCACAGATCCAAGTGCGCACACACCCTGGAGGTAGTTGAGGAGTGAAGCGAAGCCGTAACCAAATAATACCCCAGAGTGTAAAGAGGATAAGATTTGGGACTTGGTAGATGTGTGTGTGTGTAAATGCGACCAAATGGTCCAGTGATGAACAAATAAAAACTTAGTGAGGTATTCTTGGCTCCTCAAGACATCCAAATCAACAAATTAAGGCTTCTATCCAATTCAGCTCTTTTCAATTCTCTCTATCACATTCAATACCCCAGCTCATTGCTCTGCGTAATTTTTGTTTTCCAAAACCAACAATCCCTTTTTCCTACCTAGCTGTCACTATTATTCATTTAGTGTTGTGTTTTCTCCTATTTTTTTTATCACGCCACCTCAGAACCAGCGTGATCAGAACTACACGGTTCTGAAGACTCGCTCCAACATGATGACGGTGGACGGGCTGAAGCCGGGGACCACCTACGTGTTCAGGGTGAGGGCTCGGACCGACGGGGGCTACGGCAGCTACGGTGGAGAGATAGAGTTGGAAACCAGCCATGAAGGTAAGATGAAGTTGAGTGGAATACAACTACAGCTGATTCGCTTCTGGAGTCAGCTTGATTCAAGATGGCTGATCTACATGATCAAAATGAAAAAAATAAATAAAAAAGTTACAACTCAATCGGTTTTGCAGTTTTATGTGTCACATCACACACAGAGAGGCTGGAATAGCTACAGCTGTCAGAATATGGTGTCTTATTCATTAGAAACTTTGTAATGAAATGTAAAAAAATATGTAAGATGACAAGAAAACCATCATTTGTTCAATAGCATCCACAAATAAAATAACAGGACTCCATCTTCCGTTGCAGTTCTTGAAAAAACAGCACACGGACATTTTCTTGAGGCACATCAGGCTGTCTGGGTCTGACGAAGGATTCACAATTCAGCTCAATACGATTTGTATAGATGACCTCTTGACCTTTAAGCCCCTACACAGGCTGTAGGTGCATTGTTATGTTTTAATATGTTTTATTCACATTTTTCAGATCATAAAAATATTAATCCCTTCAAAGACATTTAAATCTGTAGGCCATAAAGGACTGAGCAAAAGGTGTCGCTGTCTTTTGTCAGCTGTGGGCCTGAACCTAATTAATATACAGTTTAACTGACTTCACTAGATAGTGAAGGCTCCTTTCATCCAAAAGCTTACTTCAGTTCTGATGTCAGACAGCCTCGCGTGTTGTCATACGTGTATCTGGAGCTGTGTTCAAAGTGTCCTGAAATACTCATCAGGTGAAAGGGAGATAAATCGGTTCGACAAGAACAGAAAAAGAAAAGTATTTTCCAGGATTGGAGATCTTAATTCAAAGAGACAGCTGGAGCTAAATCTAATGGATGGAGGAGGTTTTCTTCCTACAAAGGTCAGCGCAAACTTCCCTTACATTCAGAGCAGAACTCCAGGCTGTTATTTTGAAATCTCTACGAAGATGTTGTTGGAGTTCAGATCACGCTTGTGGTTCTCCTTTGTTGGCTGTCATCCACCTTTAGTATTGCTTCATTATGCGCTCTGGGATTTTCTGCTTCGGACGTTCCTTAATGTGTGCTTCAAAGTGATCATTGATCCTCGGACAGGCAGGGAGAGTGGCAGGTAGGCAGACGTGCAGACCTGCAAAACACAGTCACTGAAAGGCATTAGCCTACAAATCATTCAGCAGTCAATAAAAGTATTTCAGCTTGATTTATGTTCCCGCGTTGCATCAGATATTATGAATCTGATGAATCTTGATGCTGCTGGAGTGTGTCTGGTTTACAGAGCTGTTACTGAGCCTTCAATCAGCAGCTTCACCTCCAAGCTCCGAAGCCGATCGCATCACATGAAGGTTATCTGATCACATCAGAGGTATCGATTGTTAGAGAAAGGTGTGTATGCGTGTATGCCACCACCTACAATAGAAGATCAGTGCCTTTCTGAAGGCTATTAATATAATTCTTCAAGACACCAACGCATACATATTTATATGTGGTGTTCTCACACACTCCCTCACACACCCTCACACACACACTCACACACACGTCAGCCCATGCTTAGCTAAGCCAGATAAATGGGGTATTTGTTATGAGTAATGGCCCGATTGGTGTGGCGTAAAAATCGATGCATCTTTGCAGAAAGTTCTCGGCGGCAGCCTTGTTATGTGCAATGTTAACATATCCATTTGGACAGCGCAGCCGAATGGGAATGGCTTTCACGTCCACTCTTGTAGCCTCACAGGCGATGCGGAGAGGGAGAGAGCTTTTCATCAAGGGCCTTACTTACTATTCCGTCCACCTCTCTTTCTCTCTGGTCTGCTGTTTTCTCCTTCTGTAGTGTCTACCTTTTAAGTATTTTCTACTGCTATCATTTTTCAGGCATTCTCCATTTTTCCCTTGTCTTGTTTTGCTGTCTCAGTTTTTACTTTTTTAATTCCCAGCCTGCAGTTCTTTCCATTATCGCCTAAAGAAAACCTTGTTGACTTATCGGCATCATGCTTTCATTAACAAGCTCCTGATTTTATACCTTTGCAGACATCTTGGCCATTGGAGACCCTAACCAGTCCACCATATTGGTTGTGTCCATTGCGGGGGGAATCGTGCTCCTCATCTTCCTGGTGACCTGCTTTGTTGTCAGTGGAAGGTAAGGTTGTCTCTGTGGTCTAAACCAGTGGCGGTTTTACCATTAGGCATAGGTCGGCGGCCACCTGGGGCCTTTTTATGTTTTTGGGGGGGGGCTAGCCCTGATTGCTGGCACTGCTCTGTTAATGCCATAATGGTCTATTCCTTTAAGACGCTCATGCACAAACAGGAAGTGATTGGTAGTCATTTCACTCCAATCCACTTGGTGGCATTAATGTACCAAACTGTTGTTTGCCAAGTGCCATAAGACCACAAATAAGAAGAAAGAGTATAGGAAGCTGAAAAAGAAGAAGAGAGGCGGGAGCATTCATAACAAACTCGAAGCGGTAGTCAAAACATTAAGCATGAAATGGAGTTATCCTAGTGGCTCCAATAAGAGAAAGAAGCAGCTTGCTTCAAAAAAGCTTTTATCTTCACTTCCGAAAGTGATGTGGTTTTTCAATGTAAACATCAAAAGGAAGCAGAAAAGGAAAGACAATGGAAAATGTTTAAAGGGAGGAAAACATGGACCAAAAGGGAAAATAGAAGAAGAAGAAAAAACAAAGGCAAAAGCACAGGAGCACTGACAGGAAGAAGAAAGCAGAGCAAATATTGAAGCGCTCAAAGGGAGAGAAAGACAGGAAAAAAAGAGCACGACTAATAAAAAGGGAAAATAACTCGTGTCAGAAGAGGGTAGAGTTTTGCAAATCCAGTTTAAGATAAGGTTGTCGAAAAGTTTGTGTAAGGGGGCCCCATGTCTGTTTTTGCTTTGGGCCCCCAAATTGCTAAATCCGCCACTGGTCTAAACAGTCTGATTTTCCTGCACCCATGTTCTTAATGCTGCAATCAAACATTCTATTATTGTTTTTGTATAGCATGAAAGAAACAAGCTAACTCAGCTGCTATGTTTCATCAATGAATATTTTAGTTGCACAACTAAACTCACTTTAGCCTGTTTGCCACGAAGCTGATTACGTACGATTACATACACAATGGTGGTCTGAAGGGGGTGTGGGGTGGTGTCTGCGAAACTTCTATGGACATAATTTGTTCTTTATCGCAGTTGAAGCCACGCTGCTTACGATTTGTTTGTGAGCCACTCCTGAAGGCAGAAGTATTACCCTGATATGTTGCCATGGTGACATGGATGAATAAAACTCACAAGATTGAATAAAATCAAACTCATCTTGTTTTTTTCTGTACTTGCAACAGCTGCTGTCATGTCAGATCTCACTTTCTAGCCCCTCTTTGACATGTTCAGCATAAAAATTGCTTTTCAAGCAACATTTTTTTACACTCTGTCATAGAGTTGATAAAGGTGCAACATATTTTCCAACACTTTCATTTTATACTTGAGAGAAATGCCCTTTATGGGTTTTAGCAGTAATATTTGATGACGAAAGTTATCATGTGGTGTTGGACGTGTTTTCTTCTTGCAGGCTCAGCTTCAAGTAAACACATCTGGGTG